CAACAAAGTTAACGTAAACCACAACAACATCAACTGCGAGGCTCTTGCCCATCGCCATCCAGACCACAGCTCTGTGCGGTTCAACCGCGGTCGGCTTTTTCTCGGTGACTGGCGCCAAGATGACCTACTGTCACATCGGGGACGTATCCATCCACGTGTGGCGCAGGTCGGCTCTCGAGGGGAGCTGCGCGCGGTGCTTCGTCGCCAGAGACCGCCGCGTCCGCGTCGCGGCAGATTCAGGCGAGGCGGTCGGGTCGAAGCAGGTGGCGTTTTTCCTGGTGTGAGCAGGTCTTGCGACGACTTGGAGCGCTCCGTGGTGCAGACTACGGCATCGTCCAATTGAGCCCGCAGGACATCATCATATGCTGTTCTGGCGGCATTACGGACAACGTCTCGTGCGCTGCCCTGAAGTTCATGCTCGCTCGCGCAGATTCCGATGCGCGCGCCGCGGCCGACCAGATGACCCAGTGCGCGCAGATGCGCGGTGCGCCCAAGCCCGTCGGCATCTTAATCGTGATCGGCGTCGTCGGGTGCGTGCGAGACCCTGGATGTCTTCAGCAAAAGAGCCGCTGCCGCAACCGACGCGTGCATCTCGACCGCCGGGGGCCCAAACGAGAGCCACGAGCTAAATGAAGCAGCTGTAATTGACGAAAAAACGCATCGTTACCGCCCTCCGTGTCATTCTGTCGCGAGACCCTGTGCTCCTTCGGCAAGCGAGCCACTGTCGCAACCGACGCGTGCATCTCGAGCGCCAGAGACCCAAATTAGAGCAACGAGCTGAATCAAGCAGCCGTAGTTGAGTAAAAGAACACGTCGTTGCCGCCCTCCGTTTCTTTCCGGTCGCGAGACTCTGGGCTCTTGCGGCAAAAGAGCCACTGCCGCAACCGACGCGTGCATCTCGACCGCGAGAGACCCAAATGAGAGCCACGAGCTGAACCAAGCAGCCGTAGTTGATGAGAAACACATCGTTGCCGCTTTCCGTGTGTTTCTGGTCGCGAGACCCAGGATTCTTTCGGCAAGAGAGCCACTGCCGCAACCGACGCGTGCATCTCGACCTCCAGAAACCCGAATGAGAGCCATGAGCTAAATACAGCAACTGTAATTGGCGAAAAAACACATCGTTGCCGCCCTCCGTGTCTTTCTGGTCGCGAGACCATGGGTTCCTTCGGCGAGAGAGCCACTGTCGCAACCGACGCGTGCATCTCGACCGCCAGAGACCCAAATGAGAGCCGCGAGCTAAATCAAACAGCGGTACTTGATGGAACAACACATCGTTGCCGCTCTCCGTGCGTGTCTGGTCGCGGGAACTTGGATTCCTTCGACGGAAGAGCCGCTGACTCAACCGGCGCATGTGCCTACGCCGCCAAAGACCCACATGAGACCTACGAGCTGAATCGAGCAGCCGTAGTTGATGAAAAACACATGGTTGCCACCCTCCGTGTCTGTCTGGGCTCAAGCGCATCACCGAGCGAGGGGGTGGGGCGCGCCTTCCCGTTCCTTGCAAAGGTCATGCCAGAGCCGCGCCAAGGCCGCGCCATGACGACTGGGCGCGTCTGCCCTGCGCCGAAGCGGGGCAAGACGCGCGCTGTCTTGAAGACGGGGGGGCCCAGGCGGAAAACCCCGAAGCACACGGGAAAGACAGTGGCGAAGAAGCAGGCGCCAAACCAGAGTGCGGGGAAGGTGCCCTCGCGCAGGGTAGCCGCGTGCATGCGGCAACGCCGAATGGCAACCACACGCTTCTATTTTCTAAGGTTTCTAGGGTCTCTGAAGGCAGCTGGCCACCAAGCGCCGCTTTCTAAGATTTCAAAGTTTTTTATCCAGATTTCCGCGACCTTGCGGGTTCGCCTGGGGATGTTTGCGGCAATCTTAGGAAGCAGATGCATTTTAGAAGCTAGTAGGAGTGTTTGTTGGTGGATGTGTTAGGAATCTTAGAACATAGCAGCGGTTTTGTGGCCAGTTCTCCTCGCGTGCCTGAAAGTACTGTCGCGGAAACGTTCTGCGCGACCCCCTCTCTAGTCCCTCGGAAAAGCTCGAAGATGTGGAAAGCACAGTCTTCAGAAAGAGACAGAGAGAGAGAGAGAGAGATATAACAAAGAGAGAGAGAGAGAGAGAGAGAGAGAGAGAGAGAGAGAGAGAGAGAGAGAGAGAGAGAGAGAGAGAGAGAGAGAGAGAGAGAAAACGAGAGAGAGAGAGGGAGGAGAAGAGAGAGAGGGAGGTGAGAGAAGAGGAGAAGCGAGAGGAAAGAGAGGAGAGAGAGGAGAGAGAGAGAGAGAGAGAGAGAGAGAGAGAGAGAGAGAGAGAGAGAGAGAGAGAAATATAGAGAAAGAGGGAAAAGAGGCGAGGAAGGGTCGAGGAAGAGGCGAGGAAATATAGGCAACTTGAACATTCAGTTCAGAAAACACGAAAAGGGAGATCTTGGGTGGTGGTGTGGGGGCGACCATCTCTCTTTCTCTCTCGCTGTGTGTGTGTGTGTGTGTGTGTGTGTTCGCTGCCCGCCGCGAGCATGTCCGTCGCCTCCTCGCATCCAGCTCGCGCCAGGCCGCCCTCCGAGCGAGGCGAGCCCGCGGCGGCGGCTGTGGGGGAGGCGCAATCGCGAACAAGCTTCCGCGACGCGGTCGCGCAGGCGTGCGTGCTTGCTGCCGCGGTGTGCTGCCCGCTGCAACGTGGAAGGGGTGCTGGCCCGTTCTGGGTGGCGTGATGGGGTAGCGCCCATCTGCGTTGCACCGCGCCAAGGCTCGGCTGAGCATGTGGGCGCGCGGGTGGGCGAGGGTGCACGTGCCATTGAGCTTGCGCGTGTGAGTGGATGGGTGGACTGCGCCCTCTGCCAACTGCTGCCCACACCCTTGCTCCCGCGCCCATTTCCAGGTGTCCTGGAGATGGATCCTGCCAAGCTGGGTCTATCGTTCGGCTGAACGCCATGGGAGCCTCGGGTGCCTTGGCTGCTGGCCAGGCCGCTGTCGCAGGGTGGGATTTGCCCGTTGGCGGGCCCACCCCGTCCCCGAGGGGTCGCGCGACGCGCCGCCTAGGCCGCCAGCCCCACGTCCCGCGCCATCCCGGCGCCCCGCCCGCGTCCCAGCAGCAACTGCCGATCGACCGATCGATCTTGGTCACCCTCCCGGCCTCGGCCCTGGCAGCCCACCTCGGGAAGGGCATCTTTCGTCGGATATCCCGGGGGCGGAGGACAGCGCCCGCGGCGAGGGCGCCCGGCGCCATGGGGAAGGAGGGGATGGTGAGGACCGTGGGGACGGCGGGCGTGGCGTGCGCGTCGCCGGCCATCGGGGTGTTCGGCTGCAGCGCGATTGCATGAGGGTGCTGCAGTCGTCGATGCAGTGGGGCGCAGGCCGGCGCTGCCCCTGCCCCCGCCGGCCCCAGCGGACCAGCAGGGGTGTCTGTCACCTGGCGACGCATGCTCCGGATCCCGCCAGACTGCATGCATCAGTCAGGACCAGCAGCGGTATCCCCTGGCAGCTTGCATCAAGACTGCTGGCAAATAGACGCTTGCATCGCCCACGAGCATACGTTGCCGGCGCGGCGCGTGTGCGACGACGAGCGGCTGTCTTATGTCTGGCTGTTTGCCCCTTTCCTCATCTCTCCCGCCCGGGCTCCGTCCTGCCCCCGCCCCTCCCGCCCCGCGGTGCTGATTGACGTGCCGACTGGTCCACCACGGGCGGTGCAGTTCCAGTTTTCCACTCACTAGCCAAGGGGCGGGGCGCCCAGAGCTCTGGCGAATTTGATTTTTCAGTCCCAGTGCTTCCCTTCCATGTCGGTATCTTGCGGACGTTTCGGGCCCCGGGGCCATTCAACATCGATCCGTGAATTGCGCCTAGGGAAGGGGTCGAGACACCTGGGGCCCGTGGACTGAATATCTGATTGCGACCTCGTGCCTTGAGGTCCCCGCGGTCCCAACTAGTTGCTAAAGGTTGCAAACATGTCCAGGAACGGGCCCAGCCCAGGTCCGAAGAGGTCTGCTGTACGAATTTTCTTTCCCCTCCATCCTAGCTCCTTATGAACAACTCCCCCTTGTCGTGCCCCCAGTCGCGTCGACAGGGCGTGCGGGGCGTTTCGCCTGAGATTCTATCGCCGTTTATGACATTGCAGCCTGAAGCTCGCAACAGTTTCGTGGACGGCGGCTGGGCCGTTTTCAAAATATAGCTCTCGCCTTAGCACCGAGCGCATCAGCCTGAAAAGTTTGCAACAGTTTCACGTGTGGAGGGTGGGCTGTCATCGCTCTCGCCATGGCGCCGCGCCAAGTCGTTTTGAAGCTTGCATCAGCGTCGTGGATGGAGGGCAGACTTTTTTCACAATGCGGCTCCCGCCTTAGCGCCGCGCGCATTCGCTTGAAACATTTGCGACAGCCTCGCAGATGGAGGGCGGGTCTCTTTCGCAATCTAGCTCTCGCCGGAGCGCCGCGCACGTTTGTTTGACAGGCTTACAGCTGGTTCAAGGGTTCGCATGGTCGAAGTCCCAGAAATGCTGCTCTGCCGCGGTTTGTGATTGTGAGGACGCAAGAGTCACACCGATTCGCTGTGTTGAAGTCGCCGGAACTCTGCTCTGACATGATTTTTAAAGTTGCCAGGGCGCAATAATTTCGTTGATCCGCGACGGTGAAATCACAGGAAGGGTGCCTTGGCACAGTTGAAGATTCTCAGACAATTGTCTTGCAATGGGCTACTCTCCGCAATCATGATTCTTTCCTTTAGGGACCTATGGGGAGGCGCTCGAGTGGAGTGTTTATTGCACCATTGTGGATGCACCGTGGCTTTGCGCTGGCCCTCCTCCTCCTCCCCCTCCTCTTCCTCCTTCCTTCTTCTCCTCCTCCTCCTTCCTTCTCCTCCTCCTCATCCTTTATTTCCTCCTCCTTCTCCCTTTTCTCCTCCTCCTTCCACGGCGGCGGCGACCCCGACGACGGCGGCGGCGGCGGCGGCGGCGGCGGCGGGGGCTGCGGCGGCCGTGGCGACACGACCGCGGGGCTCGTCCTTGGCGTCGGCGGCGCGCCTCAGGCGGCCGCCGCCGCTCCGGGGGCCAGTTCGGCCGCTGGTCTATGGCCGGCTCCTTCTCCGAGGTCGGGAAGGAGTCCTGGAGGGCCAAGCGCGTCGGCGGGGCCAGGGATTCCCCCCCCCCCCCCCCCCCCCCCCCCCCCCCCCCCCCCCCCCCCCTGTCTCTGCCTCTCGCCCCCCCGTTTCCACACGTGCCCCGTTCGGCTGGCGTTCGCAGCATGCTCTGGTCATGAGTTCACCATGCTTCTACAATCTTCACGAAACAATTTTGGCCTGGCCCAATTTACGGGAAATCGTCCACCGAGGCTGCGTCGTCTGTTTGTATAGCGATCGCGGTCTACCCCTTCAAGGTGCAGTGGCTGGCTGCGCTTGGATCTGCTGTGTAATGGACCGGAGAGGCGAAACTACGCTGAATTGCAATGTGATGGGACATGCAGCTTTCACGGTCGAAGGGGGTTGCACCTTCTTTGGTTTCAGAAATCCCAGTTCTCGATTTCCTGCTGACGACATCAGACAGGGCACTACAGCTACGTTTGTTTCCAGGCAGGTCGCAGCTCAAAGGCACGGCATGTCTCGGGGGCGACGGAGAGGGGATGAAGATTATGGGGACTGGGCATCATGGCCTGGTCCGTGAAATCCGTGCCATCTGCCAGATTTTATGTTTCTCCCCTCTTCTTCCAACTCGTCACTGGCCCCCCCTTTCCTTGATCAGCCCACAAGCTTATGAGCATGATGCTTTACCCTTCCTCTTCCTGGCCACCCTCTTCGGCGCACCCGAACGGCGCCAAGCCTTGCTGACGAAAGGTGCGCTCGCGCCATATCTGATATCCTGGCCCTCCCAACCATTCCTACCCATGGCGCAGTTTTTCTGTATCCGTGGACGCGTGTCATAGTGGATTTAGACTTTTCTAAACGACCCTATCGTGTCTTGCGCATTCGGAAACAGGGAGCTGCGTGTGTACATTGCAGGAGGAGGATGAGGATGACGATGGGGATAATGATGAGGATGGTGATGAGGATGAGGATGAGTATGAGGATGAGGAGGAGCATGATGATGAGGATGAGGATGAGGATGAGGATGAGGATGAGGATGAGGATGAGGATGAGGATGAGGATGATGATGATGATGATGATGATGATGATGATGATGATGATGATGATGATGATGATGATGATGATGACGTTGATGATGATGATGATGATGATGATGGTGATGATGATGATGATGATGATGATGATGATGATGATGATGATGATGATGATGATGCTGATGATCATGCTGATGATGATGATGATGATGATGATGATGATGATGATGATGAGGAGGAGGAGGAGGAGGAGGAGGAGGAGGAGGAGGAGGGGGAGAAGGAGGAGGAGGAGGACGAGGTGGCGGAGGACCAGGAGGAAAAGGAGAAGGAGGAAGAAGGATGAGGACGTGGAAGAAAAGCAGCAGCAGAAGCTGGAGTGTGGGAGGAAAAGGCGGACCAGGGGAAGGGGGAGGGGAAAGGAGGGGGCCGACAACGATAGGGCAACACCATTTCGAAGGATCGAAATCAAACGACCAGATTGTGTGACTAAAATCATTACGTGGAGAGGGCCGAACATCGTGTGGACAGAGTCAGGGGAGGGAGGTGAGTAGTATTCATGATGTGTAGGAGGAGAAGGAGGATGAGGAGGAGTTTGGACGGGACCAGGCATGACATCATATAAAACAACATAGAAAGAGCTTGCCTGCTTGGCTCACACGAATAGCTTGAGGCCCCCTCGCCTGCCCGCAAAGATGGCACCCGCGGGAACGAAATAGACACCGCCTGTACAGTTGCACCGCCGCGCTCACCCAACAGTACGGCATGTTGTATTACTAAGCCAAGCGCGCTCAGCACTGCGCGCCCACCGCGTCCCACGAACACCAGCCTGGTGGATTCGGATTTGGCCACCTGCCCGTCGCCTGCGACAAACATAATGACCCCAATACACAATCGCAGTGCGTTGGCAATCACCGGAGCTCTTGCGTTGGCATTACGGCGGGACTCGAGCGAGTGAGAAACATACGCAACCTGTATAGAATGAGGAACCTGATAAGTCCAGGACACTTGAAAGTACTCCGTCGCACTGCGCACGGTACCTTGAACATCGTTTTGCCAAGCCCAGGGGGACTGATTACCCGCCTCGTGATACGTCCAGTGCCACAGGGGGCCAAAAACAGATGGTAACCAAACGCAGAGCGCCAGCAAGTGCACATTGCAATACCCTCCACAAGCGGAAATGTGAGATGCCATCATTGTAACTGATGAAGCTTGGCCGCAGCTGGACGTGGAACAGACAGAAGGAGTACGCTCCCTCTGCGGCAGTTGGACATACCTGCGCTGAATCTGAGATCCCAGGCCAAAAACCCCAGCGTTGAGACTGATGGCCAATGGCACTCACCACTTGACGATGAGCCCGCCTGGCCGCCACAGAGATTTCTGTCACTGCTTACTTTACTAAGCAAGCAAAACAATCGAAGGGTGAATCTGTGACAGAGGAGACTGACATATAATATATGCAATTTCGTAGAAAGGTAGTTGAGACTACACCATATTGCGCGGTCACAAAAAGGCCTGTCGAATGCGTTAGCGAGCGTGGGGTCCAAACAACGATTTCTTGCAATTTATGCTGTGCAAGCTAGGTGGTGCAATGACTGTGGTGCATTCTAGGTGGTGCAGCTCATGTGGTGCAGCCTATGTGGCGCACATGATTGCGACGCGATGCAACACAACGCGAGCCAATTGAGCGCAGCGCAACGCAACGCAACAACAGCACTACAAATCAATGTAAACCAGTGCACAGCCTCAAGAACATAACATGCAACGAGATGCATTGCAATGCAAAGCAGCGTACACCAATGCAACGCACCGCAAAGCAATGCAACGCACGACAGAGCAAGACAAGGAATGCAAGTCATCGCTTTGTAATGCAAAAGAGAGTAACACGGCGCGAAGCAATGGCAGCCAAAGCTCAGCCATGCAACGTAATGGAACGCAATGCAGAACAAACACATGGAAAGCATTGCTTAGCAACGTAGGGGAGGGCTAACCTACGCAAATGAAGCAGCGCACATCAATGTGATTTAATGAAAGGTAGCGCAACGCGATGCAAACTAACACAACGCAAGGCAGAGCAATGCGACTTCCCCCTCCTTGTCCTCCTCCTCGTCCTCCTCCCCCTCCCCTGGTGCTGCCTGGCACTGCAACGCTTTGTGGTTAGCGTGATGCAGCCCATGTCTCTTGCGCCCTTGCGGTGATGATTGTAGGGTAATCCGCAGTTGTCGCTTGTTCGGGAAAAATAAGGGCAAACATAAACTTTACTTTTTCCTTGGCGCGCTGAGCCAAGAAGTCCCGCCCGCCTGTACGAGGCGGTTCCCAGCTTTGATGTTCACCGCAGCGTTGTTGTTTTTGCTATGGTGTGCCTCCCGGATAGATAGCCCTCTGGAAGGGCAGCGGATCTTTCCTTCTCCCCCCCCAAAAAAGGCAGAGCAATGCGACGCATTGTAACGCAATGCTAAGCCATACGGAGACGAGGCGGCGGGCGGAGACGACGCGGCGACGGGGCGGCGGCGGTCACATGGCGGCCAGACCGCCACCCAGACCAGGACTACGGGCGGCGACGAGGCGGCGAAGGGGCTGCGACGGCAACCACAAGGCGGCGGACCCGACGCGCAGGCCCAGACGACGGGCTGCGACGAGGCTGCGACGGACCTGACCGACGCGCACGCCCAGACGTTGGGCAGCGACGAGGCGGCGACGGGGCGGCGACGGCGACCACATAGCTGCCAGACCGACGCGCAGGCCCAGTTTCTCCGAAAACAGATAAGAACCCTTAAGTGCAAGGACTGTTTGGGGAATTGTGTTTGAATCTGTCCATCCCTGCCATCCCACGCTAAAAACCTCAGGCACATGTGAAAAACACGCTGTATGATTATGTGGCGGGAACCCTCCGCGCGCAAAGCGAAGGCAATGGGCTGGGCACCCCGTGGCCAGCTCGAGCCTGACAGGGTACGGTGTCTCGGGCCAATCGTGCTTGAGAGGAGGAGGGTGCCCCGTGGTTAGCTCGAGCCTGAAAGTGCACGATGCCTCGGGCCGCCCGTGCTTGAGAAGGAGGAGTTTGAAGAAGAGAGGAGGAGGAGGAGAAGGAGGAGGAGGAGTAGGAGGAGGAGGAGAAAGAGGAGGAGAAGGAGGAGGAAGAGGAGGAGGAGGAGGAGGAGGAGGAGGAGAAGGAGGAGGAAGAAGAGGATGAGGAGGAGGAGGAGGAGGAGCAGCAGCAGGAGGAGGAGGAGGAGGAGGAGCATGAGGCGGGAGGCTCTCTTGCCGTGCGGTCCGACTTCTCGGCGGCGCTCGCGTCCACCTACTGCGCCACGTACAGGGACCAGATGAAGTTGGTGGCGCACAACCTGAGGCCTGGCGACCGCCCCGCCTGAAGGTTCCATGTCCAGGCGTTTCCAACAAATGGTGCCGGCGTTGTGATTCGTCATCTTCGGTGTTTGGAGGCCGGCGTCGTGCTCGGCCTTGTCGGCGTCGGCGTCGTCGTCGGCGTCGGCGTCGTTGGCATTGTCGTCGTCGTCGTCGTCGGCGTCGTCGTCGGCGGCGGCGTCGGCGCCGACGCTGGAGTTGTTTTCGCGTCGTCTTCGTCGGCGTCGTGCTCGGCGTCGGCGTCGGCGTCGTGCTCGGCGTCGTCGTTGTCGTTGTCGTCGTCGTTGTCGTCGTCGTCGCTGGCGTCGGTGTCGGTGTCGGTGCCGTGCTCGGCGTCGTTGTCGGCGTGGGCGTGGTCGTCGTTGTCGGCGGCGGCGTCGGCGTCGGCGGAGTGGTCGTCGTCGTCGTCGTCGTCGTTGTCGTCGTCGTCGTCGTCGTCTTCGTCGTCGTCGTCGTCGTCGGCGTTGCCGCTGTCGTCTCGGTGTCGTTGTGGTCGTCGTCGTCGTCGTCATCATCGTCGTCGTCGTCGTCGTCGTTGTCGTCGCCGCCGTCGTCGTCGTCGTCGTCGTCGGCGTCGTGCCAAGCGTCGTGCTTGGCGTCGTGCTCTTCGTCGGCGTCGGCGTCGATGCCGGTGTCGTCGTTGGCGCTGGGCGTCGTGCTCGTCGTCATCGGCGTCGCCGCTGTCGTCTCTTTGTCGTCGTCGTCGTTGTCGACGTCGTCGTCGTCGTCGACGCCGCCGTCGTCGTTGTCGTCGTCGGCGTCGCCGCTATCGTTTCGTCGTCGTCGTCGTCGTCGTCGTCGGCGTCGTGCTCGACGTCGTGCTCGGCGTCGTGCTCTTCGTTGGCGTCGGCGTCGGCGCCGTTGTTGGTGTCGGTGTCGTTGCTGGGCGTCGTCGTCGTCGTCGTCGTCGTCGTCGTCGTCGTCGTTGTCGTTGTCGTCGTCGTCGTCGTCGTCGTCGCTGCCGTCGTCGTCGTCGTCGTCGTCGTTATCGTCGTCGGCATCGGCGTCGGAGTAGGCGCCGACGTCTGCGTAGTCGTCGGCGTCGTCGTCGTCGTGCTCGACGTGGTCGGCGTCGGCGTCGGCGTCGGCGCCATTGTCAGCGTCGTGCTTGGCGTCGTGCTCGGCGTCGGGCTCGGCGTCGTCGTCGTCCTCGTCGTCGTAGCCGGCGTCGGCGTCGGCGTCGGCGCCGTGCTCGGCGTCGTTGTCGTCAGCCTCGTCGGCGTCGTCGTCGGTGGCGTCGGCATCGTCGTCGTCGTCGTCGTAGTAGTCGTCGTCGTCGTCGTCGTCGTCGTCGTCGTCATCGTCGTCGTCGTCGTCGTCGTCGTGCTCGGCGTCGGCGTCGGCCTCGTGCACGGCGTCGTGCTCTTCGTCGGCGTCGTGCACGACGTCGTCGGTGTCGGTGTCGTCGTCGGCATCGGCGTCGGCGTCGGCGTCGTGCTCGGCGTCGTGCTCGGCGTCGTTTTCGGCGTCGTCGTGCTCGGAGCCGTCGTCTTCGTCGTTGTCACCATCGTTGTCGTCGTCGTCGTCGTCGTCGTCGTCGTCGTCGTCTTCGTCGTCGTCGTCGTCGTCTTCAGTCGGCGGCGCTGGCGGCGTCGGCTTCGGCGTCGGCGTCGTGCTCGGCGTCGTTGTCATCGTCGTCGTTGTCGTCGTAGTCGGAGTTGGCGGCGTCGGCGTCGTCGTGTCGTCGTCGTCGTCGTCGGCGTCGGCGTCGGCGTCGGCGTCGGCGTCGTCGTCGTCGGCGTCGTCGTCGTCGTCGTCGTCGTCGTGCTCGTCGTCGTCGTCGTCGTCGTCTTGCTCGTCGTCGTCGCCATCGTCGTCGCCGTCGTCGTCGGCGTCGGCGTCGTCGTCGGCGTCGGCGTCGGCGTCGGCATCGTCGGCGTCGTCGTCGTCGGTGCGTCCTTGCCGTCGGTGTTGTCTTCGCTGTCGGCGCCGCCGCCGTCGTCTGGTCGTTTCGTCGTCGTCGTCGTCGTCGTCGTCGTAGTCGTCGTCGTCCCCCCTCCCTGGGTCCGAGGTTTGAACCCCGGGGGCGGGGCAGTTCCCCCCCCACGGTTTCCGTGTGTGTGTGTGTGTGTGTGTGTGTGTGTGTGTGTGTGAGTGTGTGTGTGTGTGTGTGTGTGTGTGAGAGGCATTTTTCTTCAAGCAAGCGCCCGCGAAACGCGCTCTCTCTCTCTCTCTCACCTTTCGTTTTCACTATTTGAAGATTTATCATGGACCTTGTTTGGGCTGTCTTGGAGCTGTCTTAGGTCCCACGGGGGGCCCTCTTGGGCCGCCTTGGGGCCGTCCTGGATGCCTCTTGGGCCCTCGTGGGGGCCTTTTGGGCAGTCTTGGGGCCATCGTGGAGTCTTCTTGGGTCGTCTTGTGCTGACTGAAGCCCGAGACTGCGAGAATGCGAAAATCATTCAAACACCAAGTTGTGATCAAGGATTTTGGCCTCTACTGACACTGGGTGGAGATCTTCTTGTGGCCCTTGGAGGCATCTTGGGCCGTCTTGGGGCCATATCCAGCCGCCTTGGGGCCATCTTGGCCCGTCCTCGAGGCAGATTTACGCTGTCCTGGTGTCCTTTGCTGCCTGCATGGGCCATCTCGGAAGATCGGGATGCGGATTCCTCGTTTCGCACGAGGGATCGTGGCCGCAGGAATGCGGATCCATTGCCTTCTCACGAGGGATCGAGGCCTCGGGAGGGGGGGATGCGTTTCGACACTCTGGTGCCAGGGGTGTGCGCCTTCACATGCAGAGAACCTGCAGAACAGCACCTGCCATTCTGTCACGCCCACATCGCGTTGGCACGGTGGCGGAGTGAGTGGCAGCGTGTGTGAGGGCGGCAGGTGCAGGATTAGACACTCAGCTTGACCGCATACAATATCGATACCCCTTCTGCTCCTCTTCGTTCGACTCCTCAGCCTCTGCCACCTGTGCTCCTTTTCTTGAACTTCTTCGATTTAGCTCGTCGTGGAGGAAGCTCCTCCAGCACAGGGCAAGTGGCACGCCGAGACTCCTTCCATTATTCCCTGCCCCTGTACGATGTGGGCTCGCGATTTGGGACTCTCGGCAAGGAGGGGCAAGACTCTTGCATGCTCTTCGAAGCAGTGCATCCTCTCCCCACGCGCCTTCCGCGTGACCAGCGCCCGCGACCCATCCGCAGGGAGCGGTCGCTTTCCTACTCGGCTTCGGACGCCGTGACTGGCTGCTGGGCCCTGATGGAGCGCCTCATCTCCTTCGAGGACAGGCAGGTCTGGAAGGCCTGCGCATTTTGTTTTGCACCATTTGGCAAGCGTCAGTCTTCATTCTCGAACCGTCGAGCGTGCTCCGCTTGGGCCATCATAGGCAGCCCGGGAGGCCCCAGCGAGGCCCTGAGATGTGGTGGCCTCAAGCTCTGGACGCAGCGGGCCAGTATTCTCGGCAACGCGTGAGAGTGAGCCTTTGCCACAGTGACCTTTGCTGCGTGGTCTTCGGGGGCCAGAGCACGCAGGCCACTGCCGTCGCAGCGCATGCGACGATCGGCAAGCTGCGCACCAAAAGGCGAGTCTTGCCCGGGGCCGCTCCTGCGTGCAGCGGGTGCATGTTCGGCCACCTGGGAGACGAGCTGGTCAGAACGACCTCCAGGGCCGCCCCCCTGGGTCCTTGATGCATCGGCGATGCATCGCCGATTGCAAGTCAAGGTTTTCCTCCTGGCGCAGCACCCCCCTGTCGTCCCCCCTCAGGGTCATCGAACGAGGACAGGAGGAATAAGGAGCACCGCCAGCACCTGGGGTGGGTGGGTGGGGGGCGGGCGGTGGTGGTGTGGACCTTTGTTTTGGGCGCTGTTGCGGCGCCTCCTGCGAACCCGCATCCTCGTGTCAGCAACTCCTGCATGCTCTAGGCGTTTTTTTTGTGTTTTCTCTCTCTCTCTCTCTCTGTTTCTGGAGCAGGAGGTGGAGGAGGATGTGGAAATGCAGCAGGAGTAGAGGAAGAGGTGAAGAGGCAGGAGGAGAGGGCGGACGTCGAGGAGGAGTATGCGCAGAGGCTTGCCCACTCCTCCCTTGCTTCGACCTGCCCCGCGCGCGGTTGGCCAGCCTGGCCCGTGTATGAGTGGCGGGCAGAAAGCTCGTCAGAAGGCGAAGGATGACGACGCGGTGGGATCAGGATCAGGGTCAGGATCGGGATAATGATGACGATGATGATAACCATGATGCTGCTGCTGCTGATGATGAGGTTGATGATGATGATGATGATGATGATGATGATGATGATGATGATGATGATGATGGTGCTGCTGCTGACGAGGATGATAGTGATGATGACGATGATGATGATGATGATGATGATGATGATGATGATGATGATGATGATGCTGATGATAGTGATGATGATGATGATGATGATGACGATTGTGATGATGATGCATCTGATGATTAATCTGCTGCTGCTCATGATGTTGATGCTGATGATGATGCATATGATGACGATGCTGGTGCTGCTGCTGATGCTGATGCTGACGACGATGACGATAACGATGACGATGACGATGACGATGACTGCGATGATGATGTTTATGATGATGCTGATGTTGGTGATGATGATGCTGCTGGCGACGATGCTGATGACTAATATAATGAGTAGTATGCTGCTGCTCATGATGCTGCTGATGATGCTGATGCAAGTGCTGCTGCTGCTGATGCTGATGATGCTGGTGACGATGACGATGATGATGCATATGATGATGACTATGCTGCTGCTCATGAGGTTGATGCTGATGATGATGATGATGATGATGATGATGATGATGATGATGATGATGCCTATGATGACGATGCTGGTGCTGCTGCTGATGCTGATGCTGCTGCTGTTGATGTTGATGTTGATGCTGTTAATGAAGATGCTGATGATGCTGATGCTGATGGTGATGCTGCTGATGATCATGATCATGATGTTGATGATGCTGCTGATGGCGATGCTGCTGCTGATATTGATGATGATATGGGGTGATGGTGATGGTGGAGGCGCTGATGATTGTGGTGGTGGTGGTGATGCTGCTGCTGCTAATGATGATGATGATGATGATGATGATGATGATGATGATGATGATGATGATGCTGATGGTAATAGCACTAAGGAGTCGGAGGATAAGAGGAGGATGAGGAGGAGGAGGTGGAGGAGGAGGATTAGGAGAGGGGGAGGGGAGAAGAGTAGGGTATGTATGATGAGAGTTTTGATGGTAATGGTGATGGTGCTGCTGCTGACGAGGATGATGGTGGTGACGTCGACGACGATGATGCTTCTGCTGCTGATGATGATGGTGGTGATGGTGGTGATGATGATGATGCTGATGGTGGTGATGACGATGATGGTAACTATGCTGATGATGCTGACGAGGATAATGCGGATGATGATGATGATGATGATGATGATGATGATGATGATGATGATGATGATGATGAGGATGATGATGATGATGACGGTGGTGGTGGTGGTGGTTTTGGGATGATGACGACGACGCCAATGATGCTGATGTTGATGCTGTTGTTGACGAGGGTGATAATAATGATGATGATGACGATGACGATGCTGATGCTGATGATGCTGATGCTAGTGGTGGTGGTGGTGATGATGATGATGATGATGATGATGGTGATGGTGGAGATGATAATTATGATGGCCATGGTGATGATTCTGCTGATGATGATGCTTATGATGGTGGTGGTGCTGCTGCTGAAGATGATGATGATGATGATGATGATGATGATGATGATGATGATGATGATGATGATGATGATGATGATGATGATGATGATGATGATGATGATGATGATGATGATGATGATGATGATGCGGATGGTGATGAACATGGTGGGCAGGAGGAGGAGGAGGAGCAGGAGGAGGAGAATAATGAGGATAATGATGAGGAGGATAAGGAGAGGTAGGCTGAGGATGTGGGAGGAGGGGGACGAGGGAGGAGGAGGAGGAGGAGGATGAGGATGAGGAGGAGGAGGAGGATGAGGCCGAGAGGGTGGTGGGTGGAGAGGGCTGTCGGTTCACCGACGCAGAAGGGTGTAGCTAGACGAGACCATCCCTTTCATGTCCAGTCTGTGCTAAGGAGTCCCTCGCAGGCTCCCGCGAAGTCTCTTGGAAGACCCCGGTGGGCTCCTTGGAATAGGTCTCTGTCTCTTGTAGGGGTGGTGGCTCTCTTCAGTCAGTCCCCTCCTTTCATCGCCGAAACGCGGCCGCGAGATGACCGACACCTGCACGTACCAGCCGTCGGAGGAAGGCTTTTGGTCCGACGCCTGCTGTAACCAGCAGCTGACGCGCACCCAGGATGCCGCCTTTGCCAGCTTTCATCAGGATCAGATGTGGTGGATGGATAGGACGAGAGGAGAACAAGGAATATGAGGAGGATGAGGATGAGGAGGAGAGGCAGGAGGAAGCGGAAGGGGAGGAAAAGGATGGGAGGTGGAGGAGGTAGAGGAGAAGGAGTAGGACAAGGAGGTGGATGATTAACTGGCTGAGAAGGGAGCTCGATGTATGGAGAGGAAGGCAGAGGAGCACTTAGGAGAGAGGGGGAACGATGATGGATGCTGCTGCTGCTGATGATCATGATGATGACGATAACGATGATAACGATGATGGCGATGATCATGATGCTGGTGATGATGCTGCTGCTGCTGATGATGATATGTTGAGGATGATGATGCTGTTGATGATGATGATGCGGATGATACTGATGAGTACGATGATGATGATGCTGATGTTGATGATGATGCTGATGATGCTGATGACGCTGATGATGACGACGATGATGATGATGACGATTCTGGTGATGACGATGAGGATTGTGATGATGATGCTGATGATGATGCTGCTGATGATGATGGTGAGGATGATGCTGCTGATGATGCTGATGATGCTGATGAGGATGATGCTGCTGCTGATGCTGCTGATGATGCTGATGATGCTGATGAGGATGATGCTGCTGCTGATGATGATGCCAAGGAGGAGGAGCAGGAGGAGGAGGATGCTGCAACAGCAGCTGATGATGATGGCTGATGCTGATGCTGCTGCTGATGATGATGATGATGATGCTGCTGATGTTGTGCTGCTTCTGCTGCTGCTGATGATGACGATGATGATGAGTATGATGAATGTGATCCTGATGATGATGAGGACGACTGTTGATTGATGATTGATGGTGATCATGATGATGGTTGATGGTGGTGCGCGTGATGATGATGCTGATTATGATGATGCTGCTGATGATGCTGCTGATGATGATGATGATGATCTGATGACTAGAAGAGGGAACAGCCGGACGCCGCTTTCCCAAGCAGCAGCAATCCAGTCGATTCGTTGTTGCCATGGCTTCCATCGCATTCATGGGGGCAGCCGCACGGGGCATGTACTGGAAGGAAACGCTCCCAAGGTGAGTCCTGCTCTTCCTCGCCCTCCTCCTGTCTCCTCCGCTTCCGTCTTTTTCCGCCTTGTCCTATTAATTTCTCTCTCTGTCTCTCTCTCTCTCTCTCTTTTCCTGCTCCTCTTCTACCTGCTCCCTCCGGCCTCCGTCATCCCTGCCCCTTGCTCCCTGCTCCTCCTTGCTGTCCTTGCTCTCTGCTCATCTCTGCTCCCTGCTCCCTGCTCCCTGCTCTCTGTGCCCTGGTCCCTGCCCCTCTCTCGCCTCTCTCTCCTCTCCCCCTTTCTCCCGCGTCTCCCTTTCTCTCTCGTGCCTGCTTTCCGCTTCATGCTCCTCTCTGCTCCGTTGTCTTCCTTCTTCCTCACTGTTCTCTGCTCGTCTCTGCTGCTCCCTCCTCCCCTTCTTTCCGTGACAGTTTTGGCTCAAGCCGAATTTCGTGATATCCCGAGCAAGTGTTTAGCTGTAGGCTGCTACACTCTGGCCAGCAGCCGCAGCAATGGTACGCAGTATAATCCTCGATGATGCCTCATTATCTCAAGGATGGCATCCTATTGTTCCCCGTACCTCGCCTGTGGTGTCACGAGTCGAGCCCCGACGGCTTTCATTTACTTGGTGGTCCACGGTTCGTATTGTTACAGGAGGAGGACAAGGAACGGAGGACGGGGATGATGTCTGGCCCTCCTTAGGCCGTGCTATTTTTGGTTGGGGCCGCTCGATACCTTCTGAAGCACTCCTGAAACCATCCTGGGCAGAAGTCATGCGACATGGAACGACAAGAAGCTGTCGCTTCTGTTTGCTTTTTTCGTTATCCAGAGCCCTTCGTCGGGGCTCGCGTGGCCCTTGTGAGGCCTCTTGTGTGCTTCGCGGGGCCACTGGAGATTCGAGGCCACTGGGGTGGCCTCGAATCTCTTGTGGGTCATCCTAGCGGCCTCCCGTGGCCCTCTTCGGCGGTCTTGAAGTCTCTCGGCGACATGTTGGGCCGCCATGGGCTTGTCTTGACCACCTGCAGAGCCAGTCCACTCTGGGCTTCGATGCGTCATCGTGGCCTCCAAGCCTTCACATACCGTGTTAGCGATCAATCAAACACGCCGCCTCCCAGTGCTGCATGGTGAGGAACACCACGACGGAGGAGAGGGTCCCCACTGGTGCCAACTACCCGCTGCTGGCGAAGACGTGTCGCCAGGACGGCTGGCCGCGGAAACGGTGCGCTCATCCGTGTTGCTGCTTGTCGGCTACGCGTAAGAGTGATTTTTCGCCAGGGTGACCTTTGGTGCGGGCTCGCAGGGGTGGTCCCATCATAGACCCGCGCGCTTGGATTTTGGCCCTTCGCGGTCCCGCCTGAGGTCACTCTTGTGTGCAGTCGAGGTGTTGGCGAGAGGGGTGGACGACACAACAGAGATAAGAGAAGCACAGACAGTGAAACAAGATAGGGAAGCCACAACATCTGACGAGTATATGAAGCAACTGTGTCTCCAGAGCGGGGCATCATGTCTGAACCGATGCAATGCGCACCTCGCAGGGCCCTTCTCTATAATGTTGCCGTGTGTGTTAGTCTCTCTTTCTTGATATGAGTTTCTTGTTTTTCATTTGACCCCTCCGCCTCCTCCTCTCCCGCCTCCTTCTCTATCCTCGTATTCAAACATGCGCTTCCACGACTGCTCAGACACACCCACATATATTCGATTTCACTCACGCTCATGCACAGACCACTCGCTCTCAGAGTCATTCGCAGTCATATTGAATTGCACTAAGTATCATCCACACTCAGACTCACTCACACTCATATTCACTTACACTTAGAACCGCTCACTCACTCACAGATCCACACGCACAGACCATTCAAACTGATACACACTCATATACACTCGTATGTACTCATATTAATGTCGTCGCATGTCGGCGCATGCCCCTTTCTCGGAGTTCTATTTTTCTGTGCACTTCAGAGTTCAGCATTCACTTGATCATCGCCTTTGCACATTCAGCATTTGTGCGCATGGAGTCTGCCTGTCGTGGCTATGAGACTGGGTCTTCCTATCGCCCGTGCAACGGAACAGCTCATATCACACCGACCCGCTCACATGCAGGCTTTCTCACACTCAGACTCACTCGCAGCCTCGCGCTCACAGTAGAAGTCACCCATACCCAGGCCACCATCGCACATACTCAGTCATGCTCGGACTCACTCACGCTCAGGCTACTTTACTCTTGGAGTAGCAGGCATGGCATTCGAGTGCGCCACGGAGGAGCCGCCAGGGGACGTGGGGCAGCCCAGACAGTTGGAACGTCTCAGGCGGTCCGCATGCTTGGTGGCTCAGACTCCTTCCTACTGAGAGCCACATCATCACCGCGATATTCCCAGGAGGAGCCGCCAGGGAGGGGGACGCTTCGTTGTCCGCGCGTAGACTGCGAGGATGCCTCCAGCGGTTTGCCTGTCTGGTGGCTGAGGACTGGGATGATGCTGCTGCTGATGATGCTGATGCTGATTTTGATGATGGTGGTGGTGATGGTGGCTGCTGTCGATGATGGTGATGATGGTGATGATGCTGCTGTTGATGAGGTTGGTGATGTTGATGACGATGACGATGATGCTGATACTGAGGCTGCTGATGCTGATGATGATGATGATGATGGTGATGGCGATGACTATGCTGATGCTGATGATGCTGATGGTGTTGGCGCGGCGATGATGACGCTGGTGATGCTGATGATGACGATTACGATGACGCTGCTGCTGGTGATGATGATGATGCTGATGACGATAATGCTGAGACTGCTGATACTGATGCTGCTGATGTGGATGGCGAGGATGCTGCTGCTGATGATGCTGGTGGTGATGATGATGGTGATGATGATGATGATGATGCTGATGCAGATTATTTAATCGCTTCGCTCATTCCGCCTGCCCGTATTGTGCCCTTGCTGGCGCTTGGGGTCCTCGTTGGGGGTTTCTTGGGGGCCTCTTGGGTTTCTGTTGGAGCCTCTTTGGGGTTTCTTGGAGCTCCTTTGGGAGCATTTGGGAGCATCTTGGGGCTTCTGGGAGCCTCTTGGGAGCTTCTTGGGGGCCTCGTGAGGGCCTTTTGGGGGCCTCCTGGGGCTTCAAAGGGGGGCCTCTTGGCGCCTCCTTGGGGCTTCTTAGGGCCGAGGGCTCGACATGTTGTTTCGTGTTCCCCCTCTAGGGCTTCTCTCAGAGGCCCTCTTGGGCCGTCTTGGAACCCTCTTGGGCCGTCTTGGGGCCCTGTCGGGGGCCTCTCGGTCCTCTTAGGGCGATCTTGGGGGCCTCTTGGGCCGTCTTGGGGCGTCGCGATGCCGAAAAGGTGGAGACGCCCAAATCTCCCCAAAACCTAAGGAACAACAATGACTTGTGCCTCTTGGGGCCCTCTTGGGAGTGCTTTTGAAAGCCTCGTGGGGCGTCTGGGGGCTATCTCGAGGGCCTTTTGGGGGCCTCCAGGGGCTTCAAAGGGGCCTCTTGGCGCCTCCTGGGGGCTTCTTAGGGCCGAGGGCTCGACATGTTGTTTCGTGTTCCCCATCTGGGGCTTCTCTCAGAGCGTTCTTGGGACCCTCTTGGGCCGTCTTGGAGGCCTCTTGGGCCGTCCTGGAACCCTCTTGGGCCGTCTTGGGGCCCTGTCGGAGGCCTTTCGGTCCTCTTAGGGCGATCTTGGGGGCCTCTTGGGCCGTCTTGGGGCGTCGCGATGCCGAAAAGGTGGAGACGCCCAAATCTCCCCAAAACCTAAGGAACAACAATGACTTGTGCCTCTTGGGGCCCTCTTGGGAGTGCTTTTGAAAGCCTCGTGGGGCGTCTGGGGGCTATCTCGAGGGCCTTTTGGGGGCCTCCTGGGGCTTCAAAGGGGCCTCTTGGCGCCTCCTAGGGGCTTCTTAGGGCCGAGGGCTCGAAATGTTGTTTCGTGCTCCTCCCCTGGGGCTTCTCTCAGAGCGTTCTTGGGACCCTCTTGGGCCGTCTTGGAGGCCTCTTGGGCCGTCTTGAAACCCTCTTGGGCCGTCTTGGGGCCCTGTCGGAGGCCTCTCGGGCCTCTTAGGGCGATCTTGGAGGCCTCTTGGGCCGTCTGGGGGCGTTGCGATGCCGAACAGGTGGAAACGCCAAAATCTCCCAGAAACCAAAAGAAAAACAATGAATTGTGCTTCTTGGGGCCCTCTTGGGAGTCTCTTGGAGCTCCTTGGCGGCGTCTGGGGGGCCCCCGGGGCCTCTTGGGATGCTCTTGGAGGCCTCTTAGGGCGGGAGGGGCGGTAGTCGATGTCGAAAAATGGCCCTCCCCTGGAGTGCTCTGGTGGCTCCTCCCGGGACCTTGCCGGGGTACTTTTCGTCCGGGGACCCCCATGGGCCGCCCCTCGCGCGCGAACTAGAAATACTGTGAACCAGTTACCGGAGATCTTAGCACGCCTCTGGCCCGTTGGGCCGGCGAATTATGGTGATGATGATGCTTATGATGATGATGATGATGATGATGATGATGATGATGATGATTATGATGATGATGATGCTGATGATGATGATGATGATGATGATGATGATGATGATGATGATGATGACGATGATGATGATGATGATGATGGCGGTGGTGGTGGTGGTGATGATGATGATGATGATGATGATGATGATGATGCTGATGATGATGCTGATGATGATGATGATGATGATGATGATGGTGATGATGATGCTGCTGCTGATGATGATGGTGATGACGATGTTGATGCTGCTGATGATCACGACGACGATGATGATAATGCTGGATCGGGTGATAAATAAGATGATGCTGCTGTCGATGCTGCTGCTGCTGATGATGATGATGATGATGATGATGGCTGCTGCTGATGATGCTGATGTTGTGCTGCTGCTGCTAATGATGATGATGATCTTGCTGCTGATGATGATGCTGATGTTGATGTTGATGGTGCCTATGATGATGTGTTGATGATGATGCTGATGATCATGATCATGATGATGATGATGATGATGAAGATGCTGATGATGATGAACATGATGATGATGCTGATGATGATGGTGATCATGCTGATGCTGATGATGAGGCTGATGATGCTGCTGCTCCTGGTGATGATGATGAAGATGATGCTGCTGATGATAATGCTGCTGCTGCTGATGATGATGATGATGATGCTGATGATGATGATGATGATGTTGATGCCGATGATGATGATGATGATGATGATGATGATGATGATGATGATGATGATGATGATGATGATGATGATGATGATGATGATGATGAGCATGATGATGATGATGATGATGATGATGATGATGATGATGATGATGATGATGATGATGATGCTGATGATGATGTTGATGATGATGACACTGACGCTGACGATGATGCTGATGACGACGACGACGATATTGCTGCTGCTGGTAGTCGATGTCGAAAAATGGCCCTCCCCTTGAGTGCTCTGGTGGCTCCTCCTGGGACCTTGCCGGGGTACTTTTCGTCCGGGGACCCCCATGGGCCGCCCCGCGCGCGCGAACTAGAAATATTGTGAACCAGTTACCGGAGATCTTAGCACGGCTCTGGCCCGTTGGGCCGGCGAATTATGATGATGATGATGATGATTATGATGGTTGATGATGTGATGGCGATGAAACATGCTGATGATGTGATGCTGATGATGATGATGTTGATGCTGTGATGATGATGATGATGA